GGATGTCGTATATGCGCTGAAAAGACAAGGCCGTACCCTGTACGGTTTTGGCGGTTAAAAAGAAAATGTAGAATTTATGTTGACACCAATCGGTCCTTTTCAGGACCACCAATCCATTTTATTAAAAGAGATCAAAAACATTTAATTCAATTTAAATCAACCAGAATCACCGATCTTCGTTTGTTTGACATATTTTGTGCTTGTTTTGAATCTATCACAAACGTAAGACAATATTGCACAAATTTATTGACTAGCACACGATGACTGTACTTTTGACCTCTAGGATGTACCTTATATTATTGAATCGATTTTTGTTACCTTAGTGAATAAAAAGATAATCTCTTTTTTAACATTTTGGGTTGTCCTGAAAAGGACGCTTGGTTTCGACTATTTACAAATGTATACGCTGTTTTTTTTTTAGTTAAGTGAACTATCAAATTATGCCTTCTTTTCAGTCTTCTTGGGCAACAGAACTGCTTGGATTTTGGGTAAAACACCGCCCTGGGCAATGGTCAAGCTGTCAAACGTTTCTTCATCTAAGATTAAACTTCTCCCGACACTGCTCCAGCAATCGACCAGAATCACGGATCTTCGTTTGTTTCACATATTTTGTGCTTGTTTTTTATCTATCACCAACGTAAGACAACCGCATTCGATATGAAAATATTGCACATTTTTATTGACTAGTCGATGACTGTACTTTTGAGCTCTGACAAGCAAGTACTTTGTATTATTGAGTCGATTTCGGATACCTTATTGAATGAAAATATAATCTCTTTTTTAACATTTTTGGTCGTCCTGAAAAGGACGGTTGGTTTCGACTATTTACAAATGTATACGCTGTCTTTTTTTTAGTTTAGTGAACTATCAAATTATGCCTTCTTTTCAGTCTTCTTGGGCAACAGAACTGCTTGGATGTTGGGCAAAACACCGCCCTGGGCAATGGTGACGCCCGAAAGCAGTTTGTTTAACTCCTCATCGTTACGAATGGCCAATTGCAAATGGCGAGGGATAATTCTAGTTTTCTTGTTGTCGCGTGCAGCATTGCCAGCCAACTCCAAAACTTCAGCGGCCAAATATTCCATAACGGCAGCCAAGTAGACAGGAGCACCGGCACCTACACGTTCAGCATAGTTGCCCTTACGAAGGAGGCGGTGAATACGACCAACGGGAAACTGAAGACCAGCACGGTTAGAACGCGACTTTGCCTTTCCCTTCACTTTTCCACCTTTACCGCGACCAGACATTTTCTTATTTTCTTTATTTCACTGTTTCACTGCTTACACACAAATATCGATTGGTATTGACATCAAACCTCACGACTATTGTATTTATACTTTTTTCAACTAACCACTTCTTCAGTTTAGAGTAGAGAGTTGAACGGGCTGTTAACATGAAAGCGTCGTTCGAAAAAAGTATAAATGCTAAGCAACTGTAGGGTGTCTGTCAAACATTTGTGGAGTGAATTAAAGTGAACGTTTGTGAATAATAATGCCGCCGAAAACAAGTGGGAAGGCAGCCAAAAAGGCTGGTAAGGCTCAGAAAAACATTACCAAGAATGACAAGAAGAAGAAGCGCAAGAGGAAGGAAAGCTACGCTATCTACATTTACAAAGTGCTCAAGCAGGTCCACCCTGACACCGGCATTTCGTCAAAGGCGATGAGCATAATGAACAGCTTTGTTAACGACATTTTCGAGCGTATTGCTGCCGAGGCCTCCCGTTTGGCTCACTACAACAAACGCTCGACTATTACCAGTCGGGAAATCCAAACCGCAGTACGTCTTTTGCTGCCCGGCGAATTGGCCAAGCACGCTGTCAGTGAGGGAACAAAAGCAGTTACAAAGTACACCAGCTCCAAGTAAAATTCAGCTAGATGTGCATTGTACGGGAAGCAAACAAAAGCAAAAGGCCCTTTTCAGGGCCACAAATCTCTTTTTCAAGGAATTAAAAATATTTTTAAATATCAGAATATTGTCCATATATAGATACATATTTCAGAAAATTAACATAGTAATCAAACAGTCGTCATCCTTATGAAATAAAAAAGATAACTAAATATCCGTTGGCTACAGCAGTGGATCAGTATTCCATACTATCCCGACTAGTAATATTTTTTGCAAATATCCAATAGCTCTTTTTTGCTATTCTAGCTGAAAATGTCTCAATAGGCAAACGCGTACAGTTTTTTTCGAGCATGATACTGCAAGTGAAATTCGGTGAGATAGAAAATATGTAATTTGTTTTTAGATTATTCCTATCACAGTGTTGTCTTTTTTGGTATGATGGACAGATTTTTGTACATTAAATTCAAGATGTATATAGGAAAATATATCCAATAGCTCTTTTTTGCTATTCTAGCTGAAAATGTCTCAATAGGCAAACGCGTACAGTTTTTTTCGAGCATGATACTGCAAGTGAAATTCGGTGAGATAGAAAATATGTAATTTGTTTTTAGATTATTCCTATCACAGTGTTGTCTTTTTTGGTATGATGGACAGATTTTTGTACATTAAATTCAAGATGTATATAGGAAAATATCAATCTCTTTGTTTAAAATATTTTGTGGTCCTGAAAAGGACCGATTTTTTTTTTATATTTATGTATTAGAGACGAGGTAGACTTAAGCGCGCTCCCCACGAATACGTCTGGCCAGTTGAATGTCCTTGGGCATGATGGTGACACGCTTAGCGTGGATAGCACACAAATTTGTATCTTCGAATAGGCCAACTAGATAGGCTTCGCTAGCTTCCTGCAAGGCCATCACAGCCGAGCTCTGGAAACGTAAGTCGGTCTTGAAGTCTTGAGCAATTTCGCGTACTAAACGCTGGAACGGCAACTTGCGTATAAGCAGTTCCGTGCTCTTCTGGTAGCGACGAATTTCACGCAGGGCAACAGTGCCTGGCCTATAGCGATGAGGTTTCTTCACACCACCAGTTGCTGGAGCACTTTTACGTGCTGCCTTAGTAGCTAACTGTTTCCGAGGGGCCTTTCCTCCAGTTGATTTACGAGCAGTTTGCTTAGTACGAGCCATCTTTCTTTCACAATTCCAACTTCACACTGTCACTGTTAAAAACACAATAATCGTGCGTCTCGTTTGTGTATCGCTTATATAGAAAATGAGTGATAAGTTAGAAAGAGATCGATATATTCGCTGTTCGTTGCTTTGCCGAATATGTTACGAGGGTAGTGTGTGAGCGAGATGGAAATATTCTTGTACTCTTTCGAGTTTTGGATATTTTTGGTATAAATATAAGCGCTGCCCGAAGAGCTAGCATTAGTACCTCAGTGACATTCGTGGTGTTAAGTTAAATAAAAATATAAAGTGAAGAATGACTGGTCGTGGTAAAGGTGGCAAAGGCTTGGGTAAAGGCGGCGCCAAACGTCATCGCAAAGTGTTGCGTGATAATATCCAGGGCATCACGAAACCAGCTATCCGCCGTTTAGCTCGTCGTGGTGGCGTAAAACGTATTTCTGGTCTTATTTATGAGGAAACTCGTGGTGTTCTAAAAGTTTTCTTGGAAAATGTTATCCGTGATGCGGTCACATACACCGAACACGCTAAGAGGAAGACAGTCACAGCCATGGATGTCGTATATGCGCTGAAAAGACAAGGCCGTACCCTGTACGGTTTTGGCGGTTAAAAAGAAAATGTAGAATTTATGTTGACACCAATCGGTCCTTTTCAGGACCACCAATCCATTTTATTAAAAGAGATCAAAAACATTTAATTCAATTTAAATCAACCAGAATCACCGATCTTCGTTTGTTTGACATATTTTGTGCTTGTTTTGAATCTATCACAAACGTAAGACAATATTGCACAAATTTATTGACTAGCACACGATGACTGTACTTTTGACCTCTAGGATGTACCTTATATTATTGAATCGATTTTTGTTACCTTAGTGAATAAAAAGATAATCTCTTTTTTAACATTTTGGGTTGTCCTGAAAAGGACGCTTGGTTTCGACTATTTACAAATGTATACGCTGTTTTTTTTTTAGTTAAGTGAACTATCAAATTATGCCTTCTTTTCAGTCTTCTTGGGCAACAGAACTGCTTGGATTTTGGGTAAAACACCGCCCTGGGCAATGGTCAAGCTGTCAAACGTTTCTTCATCTAAGATTAAACTTCTCCCGACACTGCTCCAGCAATCGACCAGAATCACGGATCTTCGTTTGTTTCACATATTTTGTGCTTGTTTTTTATCTATCACCAACGTAAGACAACCGCATTCGATATGAAAATATTGCACATTTTTATTGACTAGTCGATGACTGTACTTTTGAGCTCTGACAAGCAAGTACTTTGTATTATTGAGTCGATTTCGGATACCTTATTGAATGAAAATATAATCTCTTTTTTAACATTTTTGGTCGTCCTGAAAAGGACGGTTGGTTTCGACTATTTACAAATGTATACGCTGTCTTTTTTTTAGTTTAGTGAACTATCAAATTATGCCTTCTTTTCAGTCTTCTTGGGCAACAGAACTGCTTGGATGTTGGGCAAAACACCGCCCTGGGCAATGGTGACGCCCGAAAGCAGTTTGTTTAACTCCTCATCGTTACGAATGGCCAATTGCAAATGGCGAGGGATAATTCTAGTTTTCTTGTTGTCGCGTGCAGCATTGCCAGCCAACTCCAAAACTTCAGCGGCCAAATATTCCATAACGGCAGCCAAGTAGACAGGAGCACCGGCACCTACACGTTCAGCATAGTTGCCCTTACGAAGGAGGCGGTGAATACGACCAACGGGAAACTGAAGACCAGCACGGTTAGAACGCGACTTTGCCTTTCCCTTCACTTTTCCACCTTTCTTATTTTCTTTATTTCACTGTTTCACTGCTTACACACAAATATCGATTGGTATTGACATCAAACCTCACGACTATTGTATTTATACTTTTTTCAACTAACCACTTCTTCAGTTTAGAGTAGAGAGTTGAACGGGCTGTTAACATGAAAGCGTCGTTCGAAAAAAGTATAAATGCTAAGCAACTGTAGGGTGCCTGTCAAACATTTGTGGATTGAATTAAAGTGAACGTTTGTGAATAATAATGCCGCCGAAAACAAGTGGGAAGGCAGCCAAAAAGGCTGGTAAGGCTCAGAAAAACATTACCAAGAATGACAAGAAGAAGAAGCGCAAGAGGAAGGAAAGCTACGCTATATACATTTACAAAGTGCTCAAGCAGGTCCACCCTGACACCGGCATTTCGTCAAAGGCGATGAGCATAATGAACAGCTTTGTTAACGACATTTTCGAGCGTATTGCTGCCGAGGCCTCCCGTTTGGCTCACTACAACAAACGCTCCACTATTACCAGTCGGGAAATCCAAACCGCAGTACGTCTTTTGCTGCCCGGTGAATTGGCCAAGCACGCTGTCAGTGAGGGAACAAAAGCAGTTACAAAGTACACCAGCTCCAAGTAAAATTCAGCTAGATGTGCATTGTACGGGAAGCAAACAAAAGCAAAAGGCCCTTTTCAGGGCCACAAATCTCTTTTTCAAAGAATTAAAAATATTTTTAAATATCAGAATAATATCTCATATGAATGTAAGCGTTCTTAAAACTTTTCTATTATTTTAAATATTAGACCCGAAATTTACACATTACACATTTCGTCTATGCGATCTTTTGAGGGGTGTTTAGATTGGATGAATATATTTCTTATAGGCAAGCGGCAAGTAATTTGATCAATACTTTTTTATAACAATGTTTTATTTTGCGGTGGAATGAATAAGGAAGGAAGGTATGAAGTACGTAATTTATTTATATGATATTTACAATTATAAGTTGAGAAGTCCAATCGGACTTAAATTAAGGCAGCGTATATGAGTAGACATGGCATTTATTATATTTGCTGATATAGACAAAAAGAAAAATTCTTTCTCTTAGAAAATCGTATTTGTAGCCCTTAAAAGGGCTTTGTAGGAAAACAAATTTCATTATTAGAAATTTGCATATGCTGACAAGCAGTTAGCAATTTCAAATTATTTCTTCGTTGCAGATGCAGTCTTCGCTTTTGGCTTCTTGACAGCAGTTTTCTTGGGGGTCGTAGCCGACACGACTTTTTTCGGTTTAGCACTTGTGGTCTTAGGTTTAGGGGTCTTTGGCTTTGTTGCGCTTGACTTAGCCTTTGCTGTTGTAGGCTTGGCCTTTATGGTTCCCGTTTTCTTCGCATCCTTAGCCTTTTCTTTGTCAGCCTTCTTTTTCTCAACATTTTTTTTGGCTGCTGCGGATTTTGATAGCTTTTTATCAGCGGCACCCGCTGCTTTCTTCGTGGTAGACGTACTACTCTTGCTTTTAGTTGCTGCTGCCGCCGAAGCATTTACCTTCTTGGTTTTCTTCTCGACAGCGGAGGCCTTTGGCTTGGCATCCTTGTTAGCGGATGCAGATAGTTTAAACGAACCAGAGGCACCCTTGCCCTTTGTTTGGATCAGCTTTCCATTCGCAACTGCATTCTTAAGGTACTTTTTAATGAACGGGGCTAGCTTCTGGGCATCGCACTTGTATGTAGCACCGATATATTTTTTAATTGCCAGAAGGGATGAGCCACCACGTTCCTTCAAATTTTTAATCGATGCATCTACCATTTGCTGAGTTGGTGGGTGCGATGGCGGAGCTGCTGTTGACTTCTTTGATTTTGGTGTGGCTGCTGCCTTTTTAGTAGACACCTTTTTCTCGCCTGAGGCTGCTTGGGCAATCACAGGAGATGCGGACGTTGCAACTGCAGAATCAGACATTTCGTGCGCTTTACTTTACTTTTGTGAACTGAAAACACTATTTCGGTGTGAAAACAGAAATATACCAGGTCACCCGTTTGAGTGAGAATCGAGGAGGAGGGCTGAACGAGAATGTTTTTGGTATTGAACGTTTGTTACTCAATGCGTCGTCATTACATACTTGTTAAATGGTCGTTTACAAAAGTATATACTTGGAAATCGTTCTTAATGTAAATTGGAATGGTTTGTTTAATATTCAAACAATACAATATAAATTATTTAGTGTATTTAACATGATTTTATGATTTTTAATTGCCTGTCAAAGTTCAACTTTGAGTCTTGGCGAAAAAGGTTATCGAGCAAAAAACACGATTATTATTAAAAATATAATGAAACTTGAAATATTTTTCATCTAAATACAATATTTAAACAATTCTTTAATCAAATTCAACTATTAATTTAAATATATCTTAAGTCTACTACTTTAAATATCTATTTAACATAACCCTTAGCTGTTAGAAACATGCCTGTTTACAATGAAATCAATATAAAAACGCTTCAGACAAATCTTATTTTGTCTTTAACAGTTAATATAAATTTAAAAAATTTAATATAAAAAAAAAGGAAATGGAAGATTATTCCACTTAGTAACACAAATTGTTATTATACTTGAAATTTAATTAATAAAATATCATGCGAAATCCATATGACATTTCTGTGTACCGAAACATCCATCAGACTCTTAGTTGATTTATTTTTGAAATTCAGAAATTATCTATTGGAGCACAATTGATTGATGAAAAATGACGTTTATTTACGGTGATGAGATAAATCCAATATTGTAATGCCCTATTTGTTTATTGTCACATTGTATAAAGCTTTTTAATAAGATGATTTATTTGGCGACCTATCAATTTCATAATTGTTTCTTTGACTGGCTCGATGTCTGAGGTTTTTTTATTCCAGACAATATGAAAATCCAGTTTTGTTTTAAATTTTTACTTAGTATATTGATATTTAATTTAATATATTGATACGAAAATAAGAATCTCCTTGTTTAAAATATTTTGTGGTCCTGAAAAGGACCGATTTTTTTTATATTTATGTATTAGAGACGAGGTAGACTTAAGCGCGCTCCCCACGAATACGTCTGGCCAGTTGAATGTCCTTGGGCATGATGGTGACACGCTTAGCGTGGATAGCACACAAATTTGTATCTTCGAATAGGCCAACTAGATAGGCTTCGCTAGCTTCCTGCAAGGCCATCACAGCCGAGCTCTGGAAACGTAAGTCGGTCTTGAAGTCTTGAGCAATTTCGCGTACTAAACGCTGGAACGGCAACTTGCGTATAAGCAGTTCCGTGCTCTTCTGGTAGCGACGAATTTCACGCAGGGCAACAGTGCCTGGCCTATAGCGATGAGGTTTCTTCACACCACCAGTTGCTGGAGCACTTTTACGTGCTGCCTTAGTAGCTAACTGTTTCCGAGGGGCCTTTCCTCCAGTTGATTTACGAGCAGTTTGCTTAGTACGAGCCATCTTTCTTTCACAATTCCAACTTCACACTGTCACTGTTAAAAACACAATAATCGTGCGTCTCGTTTGTGTATCGCTTATATAGAAAATGAGTGATAAGTTAGAAAGAGATCGATATATTCGCTGTTCGTCGCTTTGCCGAATATGTTACGAGGGTAGTGTGTGAGCGAGATGGAAATATTCTTGTACTCTTTCGAGTTTTGGATATTTTTGGTATAAATATAAGCGCTGCCCGAAGAGCTAGCATTAGTACCTCAGTGACATTCGTGGTGTTAAGTTAAATAAAAATATAAAGTGAAGAATGACTGGTCGTGGTAAAGGTGGCAAAGGCTTGGGTAAAGGCGGCGCCAAACGTCATCGCAAAGTGTTGCGTGATAATATCCAGGGCATCACGAAACCAGCTATCCGCCGTTTAGCTCGTCGTGGTGGCGTAAAACGTATTTCTGGTCTTATTTATGAGGAAACTCGTGGTGTTCTAAAAGTTTTCTTGGAAAATGTTATCCGTGATGCGGTCACATACACCGAACACGCTAAGAGGAAGACAGTCACAGCCATGGATGTCGTATATGCGCTGAAAAGACAAGGCCGTACCCTGTACGGTTTTGGCGGTTAAAAAGAAAATGTAGAATTTATGTTGACACAATCGGTCCTTTTCAGGACCACCAATCCGTTTCATTAAGAGATAAAAAATATTAATTATTCAACACTAACGAAACGTGATGCTGTCAAGCGTCTCCATCTCAGATTCCGAGATCGACCGTGATCACAGATGTTCGTTTTTTAAACCCTGAACCCATTAAAAATGGACACAAGGGTATATTGTATTTGTGCAAAATCCAAATGTATGTAACAGGCAGAAGGAAGCATCTCCGACCCCATAAAGTATATATATTCTTGATCAGCATCAATAGCCGAGTCGATCTAGCCATGTCAGTCTGTCCGTCCGTCCATATGTATGAACGCAAGGATCTCAGAACATATAAGAGCTATAGACTTGACATTTTAGATGTAGGTGCTCCTAGTTCCTGCGCAGATCGAGTCGGTGCGAAAATGGAAATATTTTCGATGGAGATATGACGTTCCAAAACGACAGAACTCCACGCGGAGATATGACCTTCCAAATCATCACGATTTTTTTCAAAATCGAGGTCGGTGCGAAAATCGAAACTTTTTCGATGGAGATATGACGTTTCAGAACGACATAATTCCGCGCGGATATGATATGACTTTCCAAATCATCACGTTTTTTTTTTTAAATCGAGGTCGGTGCGAAAATCGAAACTTTTTCGATGGAGATATGACGTTCCAAAACGATATAACTCCGCGCGGATATGATATGACCTTCCAAATCATCACGTTTTTTTTTCAAAATCGAGGTCGGTGCGAAAATCGAAGCTTTTTCGATGATTTTTTTTTTAATATCTAGGGTAAATAATGTCTGATTTTAAAATGTTATACCTTTTTGAATGCGTACGGATACCTACCATCAATTGGCATTCAAACAAATCAATCATCGATGGGTTGAATAATGGGTCAAATAATGTCCGATTTTGCAATTTCATACCATTTTTGACTCGTAAGGAGCAGTTCTATCGATTGTCATCAAAAAAAGGAAATCTAAAATTTTGACCCAAACCGACTAAATGGCAAGAGGTTACATCACGTTTTTTTCAAAATCGAGGTCGGTGCGAAAGTCGAAACTTTTTCGATGATTTTTTTTTTAATATCTCGGGTAATTCCAAAACGACATAACTCCGCGCGGAGATATGACGTTCCAAAACGACATAACTCCCCGCGGATATGATATGAACTTCCAAATCATCACGTTCTTTTTTTTCAAAATCGAGGTCGGTGCGAAAGTCGAAACTTTTTCGATGATTTTTTTTTGAATAACTCGGGTAATAGCCCCGCGCGGAGATATGACGTTCCAAAACGACATAACTCCGCGCGGAGATATGACGTTCCAAAACGACATAACTCCGCGCGGAGATATGACGTTCCAAAACGACATAACTCCGCGCGGAGATATGACGTTCCAAAACGACATAACTCCGCGCGGAGATATGACGTTCCAAAACAACATAACTCCCCGCGGATATGATATGACCTTCCAAATCATCACGTTCTTTTTTTCAAAATCGAGGTCGGTGCGAAAGTCGAAACTCTTTCGATGATTTTTTTTTTAATATCTCGGGTAATAGCCCCGCGCGGAGATATGACGTTCCAAAAC